AAAGCAATAGCCTTTGGAGAAGTAGTTTCTACACCCACAGACCTGTGTATTTTGTGCTGAACTGACCAAGCATTTGTTTGTTTTTGTTGTTGTTTTCACTGTTTTTCAATAGTAGCCAATAAAAAAAAAATAGTGGCCATGGATAGGAAATTCTTAACTAGTTACAGTAAGTTTTATGTGCGTGTACCTGTACATACATATACGTACATGGACACATACATATATGTAAACATATACGTGTGGTTTATTTTTTAATATAACAAGAAAGAACAGGAGAGAAGACCAGAAACAGCGACAAGTGGGAGACAGAAAAAAGAAAGCCAAATACTGAGTTACAAAAACAGTTTTCTTAGGATTTTTATAAAATTCTCCAAAGTATGAAATTCACATTGAGTTGAGGATTAGTCTGGTGCATGCTGTGTACATATGTGCATAAGTGACATTTTCTGTGGTCTGAACATGTGTTTACCCAGACGCCTTTTCCCTAAAGCTTACCCAGGCACATACCTCCATCTACTAACTTGAGAGTAAAGATTTGTATTTTTTCCATGCAAATTTTCCCAACCACCTAATTGAAGGACTTATCTAGCAGAAATTGCTCTTGTCTCCACCTCCCATTTGTCTGAGAAAATGTTGTGTAACTTCCAGAGTAAGCCGCAACCTCAATAATTCATTATTTTTTCTTATGATTTTGAGTCTTCTGACGTTTTAACCATGACCAATTTATGATTTTCCCAGCAACTTACCATGAAAAGAATTACAGCCCCTGCTCGTTATAGAAGATTTACCGTATCTGCCCTGAATTACATTCTCTGTCTCCTGTACTAGCCAGACTGCTTACGCTGTTTTCGAGTCTTTCGGGGTCTTCCTGGGTGTCCCTTCATCATGTCTGCATTCCTCCAGGTGAACTGCACTTGGCTTTGTTCCTCGGGGCTCCCCACTGACCCCGTTTGTTGACACCTCAGGGTCGAGTTCTGTTTTGATTCACTTAGTCCATCTGTTATTTTCTTCCAGTCTTTTTTCCATGCAAGTATTTTGATCACACTTTTTCCATGCAAGTAGTTTTATTAACACCTTATCCTAAATTATTTTTCCATTTTGTTGTTTTATAGGGAACTATATTGGAATAAATCTCCAAGTTACTTAACCAGTCTAGTGTTTACATTTAGGCTGTTTCCATTGTTTCGCTCCTACGGGGCAAGTTTGTTTGGAGAACTTAATCTCTTCAAGCACGTAGAGAAGTATTTTACCTTTTCTGCAAAATGATGATTATGTCTAGTTCATGGGACTGTTGCACGATTTTAATTTGATAGCTTACATGTATTAACTACAGAGTATCTACGTGTAGAAAGCATTCATTAAATATTAACTCTTCCTTTTTGCTCATTTTTTTAAAACAGATAATATTATATGAACCATTTCCATGCATAGAGCTTTTCAGCAATTAGGATTATGGTCCTTGGATAGACTCCTATGTGGAAAACTAGGAGATCACAAGAAATGAACATTTTAAAGTTTCTTGTTAAATGCTGGGAAATTAATTTCCAAAATATGTGTATGTATTCAATATTTATTTACTAATTTGATATGTAAAGATGGCATACTATGATTCTGCCCTAAATTCTTTTATAACCACCCTTTGTAAATTATTTACCTCCTCTCCTGTTAGTATTTCCTTTTTAGTAAATAGATTGATTTCATACGATATCCATTTATCACACAGAGCTCTTGGTGGAGGTTTTCGGGAGTCTTTTTTGGTTTATATTTGGTTATTAATTATTAAGCATTTTAATCTTTGGAATGCATATTTCCTAAAAACACTTATCTACTCCATTTTTTGCCTCTCAAATATGTTTCTTTAAATATGTTTAACTTTTCCTTTATGAGTTCTTTATTCCATTTCTAAATATGGAAAGGCTTGTCCCACAGTAGAAGTTGATATGTATTCCCAGTTTTCTGTGCCTCCATTGCCTTACTTTTATCTTTTTTACCTTTTTATCTTTTTTATCTTTTTTCAAATGTTCCCTTCTTGGGGCGCCTGGGTGGCTTAGTCGGTTAAGCGTCTGACTTTCGCTTAGGTCGTGATCTCGCCGTTCGTGGGTTCGAGCCCTGCGTCAGGCTCTGTGCTGACTGCCAGCTCAGAGCCTGGGGCCTATTTCGGAGTCTGTGTCTCCCTCTCTCTCTGACCCTCCCCTGCTCACACCGTCTCTCTCTCTCCTAGAAATAAATAAAAATATAAAAAAAATGTTCCCTTCTTATGCATATTTTAGTCCATTTTTGAAGTACCTGTTCTGTACTACTGATCTATCTTTATTCCAGCACCACATTGTCTCAGTTCTTCTAGCTCCGTGGAGTATTTATATGACATCTCTTATGCTCTTTTTACTGAACCTCAGGGGTAGTGCTGTTTGTTCCCTTCAAGGCATTCCCAGACGGCTGCTTCTTGCTCGGATCACGTGTGGCCGCCTCTGGAATTCTTCAGTGTGCCTGTGGAATGTGAGAGGCAGTCTTTACTGTCTCAGAAGGGGCTTAAAGATTATTTAGTGTAGCCTTCCTTCTAAGAAATCTCCTCTAAAATGTCTCTGACAGGATTATGGAGAGGCTGGATTTTACAAGCACTTGGCCTTCTCCCAAAGTTTCTGATATTTCTAAGTGACCAATGACTCTTCCCGTGTTCATTAAAACTGAATTGACACCCAATCCCATTCTCTACCAGTACTTCTGTTTATTGAGAGATTAAAATTATCAGCAAAGAAAGGAATACGTTTTTCACATCTTCTGATTTAATCAAAAAGATTGCCTAAGAAATCAGAGCACCTACCACCGTCACACTGCACCTTTCTGATGGGTAATTGTGGCTTCCACAGTTAACACCTCTTCTGTTTTCCTCCCCTCTACTGTCACCCTCGTGTTCCCTCCATGATTTCAGCCCCATGCTAATGAACTTCCCTGCTTACCTTCTCCTTGTCATGTGCTGCTTAAGATCGTTACATTGAACTGGTTTCTTTTATCTAAAATATACCATTATGTTGTTTTACTCCAGCCTTAAATCCCATACGCCAATGTCTTGGTTTATCCATAGCATAGTATTTATCTCCTTATATTATCGTTTCATGTTTATTTTATTTCTCGTGCTTAGTTTTATGGAATTTTTAATTTTGTGCATTTCAGTACTTTGTGTGCATTGCTATAGATCCAGGTTTTCTAAACTGATCTGTTAGAACACCAGTGCCCTGCAGTTGTTAGGAAAAGTGGGTGTCATATAAGTATTTATGTGGCCTGACAGCCAGGGCAAACTCTGGGTTTAAAATACATAGATTGTGGCTCAGTCAGTTAAGCGTCAGACTTCAGCTCAGTTCATGATCTCATGGTTTGTGGGTTCGAGCCCTGTGTCAGGCTGAGTGCTGACAACTTGGAGCCTGGAGCATTCTTTGGATTTTGTGTCTCCCTCTCTCTCTCTCTCTTTGCCCCTCCCCCACTCGCATTCTCTCTCTCTCTCTCTCTCTCTCTCTCTCTCTCACTCTGTCTCTCTCTCAAAAAAATGAATAAACATTTTTAAAAAGTGAAAACAGGTAGGTTGTAGGGTGCCTGGGTAGCTCAGTCATTTGCGTGTTAGACTCTTGGTTTTGGCTCAGGTCATGATCTCACAGTCCCTGAGTTCAAGTCCCACGTTGGGCTCTGAGCAGGCCATGCAGAGCCTGCTTGGGATTCTCTCTCTTTGCCCCTTCCCCTGTCTCTGCTCCTTCCCCTCTTTCTCTCTCAAAATAAATAAACTTTTAAAAAATAAAATAAAACAGGTAGTTCCTTTGTTTGTGACTTTCCTCAAAGTCTTTCCTATGCTAATATCCAATGTATAGTTTTGAAAAGTAGTTTCTAGTATGTAGGCTTCCCCAAAATTAATTTAGCTTTAAAAAAAATTCTTGGGGTGCCTGGGTGGCTCAGGCAGTTAAGCATCCTACTTCGGCTCAGGTCATAATCTCGCAGTTGATTCAAGTCCCGCTTGGGGCTCTGGGCTGACAGCTTGGAGCCTGGATCCTGCTTTAGATTCTGTGTCTCCCTCTCTCTCTCTGCCCCTCCACTGCTCATATCCTGTCTCTCTGTCTCAAAAATAAATAAACATTAAAAAAAAATCTCTTGGCATCTCACGAGACACCGGAATAGCCATGTAAACCAGATTTCTCTCATCAGTTGGGGACTATCACCCATCTTTCTATGCTGTTTATGATATCCTATATATGATCTAGCAACCGGTTCTGCTTATGTTTTCACTGAACGGTGTTACTACCTTATCACAAGTTTCAAAATAATTCTCTTGCGGCCAAGAGTTTGCCTAGAGCCTTCTTCCCAGTTTTCTATGCTACATTTTGTCACTTTCCAGGAGCCCCTACCATGGGTGTCATCAGCCAAACTCCAGAATATCAGATCATGAGCTTTGACACCATCTGTGTGACCAGCTGCTCCCTTCCTATATATCCCAGCTTCTTTTCCAAAGTTATAATCATTAGTTGGAAGAGTTGAAAATGCAGCAGCTGAGTCCCTAGTTTTTAAGTTTCTTGCCCGGGACTGTGTGGAAACAGGTCATCTTTCCTGGGTATTCTCTGGCCATGAGATTATACCTTGCTTTTCTCTAAACCTTTTGAAATTTTCTTTCCTAATCTCAAAATCTTTCTCTTTTTCTCATTTTTTCTTTTTTTCATTTTTTCTTTTTTTTTCATTATCTTTCAACACAATGGGAAATGAAAATGAAAGAAGACTCTGAGCATCATCTTTTAGAGAGCCCCGCTACTCTGCATCAGGCGGTCTGTACCCCCTCAATCATGCCTGTGCCAGGGAGTGCCACCATTAACCTGCGAAGGGACTAAGGAAAGGATGTTCGCTGGCTTGAGTATTATTCTCATCTTAAAAACAAGTTTGTGGGATAGTTTATGAACAGAAAGCCCATCCGAGTGTCTCTCCTTAGCTGCTATTGACTTTGATTGACATATATCTTTTACCCCAAATTTCTTGACATGCCATTTGTTTTATTTCAAATACATGTTCTGAAAAGGCATCACACTTCCCTGTCAGCTATGGAAAGACTATATACAAGACAGTGCCACATGCCTTATCAGGGATTACTTTAGAGCCAATAAAAGACTTCTTCCCTCTTAAAAGTATCTGTGAACACTGATTGCCCCTTGGCTCACACCTTGCTGTTTCTTTGTTAAAAGCTCTGAGTTCACTATCGCTGCTTCTGTTACTGCCACTCTGAGAAGAGATCAACTTTAAAACTCATAGAGAGGCCAGGATGGGCTACAGCTTCTTCTCTTTCCCCTCTTCCATTCACTGAGACTTCCACTCAGTTTAATTCCTCTCTACTTTCTCAGATTATTTTTCCTACTTTCCTTCTTGAGTTGTTTAATCCTCCCAGGAACACCTTGATCCTCTTTAATATGCCCAGATATGAGGAGGCTTGTGTTAAATCCTTTCATCTCCTGGAGCATTGCTCTTAACTGGAATTTATTGAGCCAGACATTGTGCCGAATGCTGGGAATAGGAGACATAGACCTTTCAGAACCTAGTGGGAGAAACAGAGAAGAGTAAATAAACTAATACAAATCAACACGATGAGTAGTTCTGCCACTAGCAGATAAAGGGTGCTATAGGATGTCACTGAAGAGTGGTAAGCAGGGACTGGTGTGATTAGAGTGGCATTTTAATGGAGAACTTTTGTAAGTCCTAGAGACAATGGATGGAGTGTGGAATGGTTGGTGGCAGGGAGGTCAGATGAAGGACTGTAGCAGTTACTCAGATGTGAGGTAATAATGACAATAATAATCATGGAAGTGGAGATGGAGAGAAGTGAAGGGACCCATGAGACATTTAATTCTAGAAACAATAGAAATTGATGACTGAGTCCTCAGAATGTTAGGGGAGTCGTCAGCAGTGATTCTACTTTGGAAATAATATAAGTGGTGAGGTCATTTGCTGAGACGGAGAAAGCTGGAAGAGCAAAGGTAGGGGAAGATGGCAAGATTCTTTTTGCATGTGTTGAATTTGAAGAACCCATGGAAAGGAAATGCGGTAAGCAGTTAGATCTGAGAGTCTAGAACTCATGAGAGAAGGGGAGTCAGGGATGTGGCTTTGGCAGTCATAGCACCTGGATGGTCATTGACTCCTTTCTCCCCCAGTCATGCTTTTGGTGTGAAATTATAAATAAGCCCTCAGCTGCTCATGCAGGTGTCAGACTGACCTACACCTGAGTCTCCAAGTATCTGCTTCATCTATCCCCTCTCCCTTGACCCACTGGATTCCTATCCATTGGTGGGCTCCAAAGTTTGGAATTAGAGTGGTCAGAGATTTTAAAAATATAATCTAAGAGTCTATTCCTGAAACCATCTCATCAGTTTACAGTGACACTCAGGTGGTCTTTCTGTTGATAAATCATCCCACATACTTGTTTTTAAGATGAAAATAATACGCAAACCGGGAAACATCCTTTCTCTAGTCCATTTGCAGGTTAATGGCGGCACTCCCTGACACAGGCATGATTGAGGGGGTACAGACCGTCTGGTGTAGAGTAGCGGGGCTCTCTAAAAGATGATGCTCAGAGTCTTCTTTTGTTTTTTTTTTCCATCTTGCTGAAAGATTTCTCATTATCAAATGTCAGAAAACACATAGGGCCCTCGACTTAACATTTCACAATATACGTACCTGACTTCATGTATTCTTGGCAGTTACACATTCCACAGTTTTTTACCCTCTTCTCCCCAGGACAGTAGGACAGCACATGGGCAAGTTCATTCATTCCCCTACAGTATTAAAGAAAGTTCACAACGTACAGCATATTTTACAAGGCTCTAGACTAGCAGCAGTTTACCTGGAAGAGAGGTGACAGTCCTGTGGAGCATTCCTATTTTTTAAAGAAGCGGATGTAAATGGCTGTTTCATTACAACCACAGTGGGACTGGGGAGCCCAACTTAGCTTGGAGGTATTAGACGCTGTTCAGAAAAGTTCCTCTAAAGAAGTGATATCTAGGCTACGTGCCCAAAGATGAATTAGAGCTTACCAGGTAGCAGGAAGGAAGAACAGGAAGAAAAGGAGAATCTGGGAAGCTGAGAAAATTCTAAAAGTATAAAATGCCCTGTGCAAAGGTCTGAGGCAATAGGAGCTCAGCTGTTGCAGGGAGATGAAAGTGGGAGGTCTGTGGGCAAGAGGTGGCAGTTGAGATGAAGTTGGGTGGCAAGAGAGGTTTCTGGCGTACATCCAAAAGGCTGCTGGAAGTCCAGAAAGAAATGAATGAGGTAGATGGTCTGGATAGACACACGTGGGCCTAGAGTCCTGAGCGCCTCCCACCTGTCAGGCATTGAGGGGTGCCTCGAGTGCTGTAAGTGCTGAGGGGAAACATGGCTGTCGTCCTAGAGCTCTCATCCCGATGCTTGGTACATGACGTGTGTGTCTACAGTATTTCTGGAGATGAGAGAATTTGTAGAAAATTGTTTCCAAAAAATATTTGCTTCTTCCTGTGCTGTGTGCTATATAAGGTAATTGGTATTGCTTAAAACAAATCAAGGCTTGTCCTCAAATCACTCTCCACAAGTAACAACAACCTTTATCTTCGTTGACTAGAGAAGTTAGGAAATGAAAACCCTTTTCAAACACTTGCCTAACATGATATATTCATTTGAAGTATAGTCATTTTTCTCTTCCATGCAATGAAGCACATAAATTTACTTGCTTTGTAGATTGACTTTTTCTGAATTATGGATGTGTAATTTTGTTCTTCCTGTTTATGCCACAACAAATATATTTTTAAAAATTTTATACTGGTTTCCATCTCTTGATTTGCTTAGTCTTTATTTGGTCTGTGTACCCTGGTATATGTGCTACCTAACTTACTCAAATAGCCTTTTGAACTTCAGTAGTCACTTTCTTACTCACTAGACTAAAACTAGAGAAAATATTTTTAAATAACTGCATGTATATACATATGTATAGATATATTAAATATACGCATATTACATGCAAATATACAGCATGTATATGTGCATATATATCACAAACACATTCCCTAATTTTCTTGGTTTCCTTTTCCTCCCCTAGAATAGAGAAGCTTTTGTATCTTTAGCAGCAACGTGAGCTAAAGGGGAATATTTGCATTCCATAATGGAGGACGGATTGTATCCTGCCCCCACAGCAGGCATTCTAATGCAGCTGGAATCAGGAAGATAAATCAAACAGTTAAATTCCTGTATTAAAATTAATTTGTACGCTCCTAACCAGCGTGCACACTCATTCACACGTACAGGCACATTACCATATATTGTATTTTTGTTTTCAGTTAATGTCAAACTCTTTTATTTGTAAATATGGAATGTTGTGTAGTGACTTCTCATTTATATCTTGTTTCCTTTCATTTTTCTGAGCCTTATCACTTACTGTGTGTTGCATACCATGTTGCTGAGTGGTAGATATATTACAGTGTGCACTTATATAATTAGACTGTCATTTATCTAATAGACTTTGATAGGCTATACCTTTATATGGGCAAGAACCATATCTTTCAGCTTTGTATTCTTTAAATATTTTTGAGATTTGTTCTGAGATGCCATTAAGTTCCTTAGAAATAGTTTAATCCTTTCAAGGCTTGCTTTTTAGCCTGAGTAGGTGGGTCCAGAGCAGCCTTTAGATAGACTAACGATAATTAATGCCACTTCTGAGGCAAGATACTTCTAGAAACACTACTCTGGTATCTTATAAGATTTATCCTCTCTGGTACTGGAAACTTGATCTGTTCTCAGCGCTCTTGTGAGCTTCACAATCATTTCTACCTGCTCCTTTCCCATAGTTTTTGCCTCGGCCTTGGAACTTCTTTCACACACCTGATCAATACTGAGCCAAAGACCTGAAGGGAACATTCTGAAGATTTTCAGAGCTATCTTTCTGGTTAGGGCCTTTCCCTGCAATGCTCTTCCCTATAATTTCCAGCTGCTTTGGCCTCGCAAACACTGAAACTAAGGTATACCTCTGACTCTGTTTGAGTTTCTCATCCTTGAGTTAAATCCTGGAAACTTCCTAGACAGTAGACAGGGACAATCATAGCTTTTACTGCACCTGTCTCCCTTCTCTCAATAATCACTGTTTTGTACTTGATGTTGTCCAGTGCCCAAAAACTGTCATTTCATATGTTTTGTCTGACTTTTAAGTTGCATAAGGCAGGAGAATAAGTTCTGTCACTGTTACTTCTTCATGGCTAGAAGCAGAAGTTTTCAGACAAAGTCTTTTTAAAATGTGTATGCGTGTGCGTGTGCGTGTGTGTGTATGCCCTAGAGACATAAACAGTGTAAATCTGAGGCTATGATATGAATGACTTTCCTAGGAATGCTGAAAAAGGTGGTAATAAACCCACCAATTCCTGAACACTTAATATGTACCAAATACTGTAAATATCTAGCTTCATTTAATCCTCTACTAGCTAAATATTATTAACCCCATTTCATAGATAAGGGAACTGAGCTTGGGTGATGTTAATTAACTTACCCTAGGTTACTCATGTAGAAGGAGGCAGTGCTGGAATAGAAATCCAGGTCTATCCACTTAAGCTGTTTCTGCTGTATCAGAATTTGGAGAAAAATGACTGAAGCAAAACCCTCATAGATTTTTGCCTCAGGCCAGCACTATCTTTATACTTATAAATATCTTAAGTGGAAATATATCACATTAGAGATTTTTTTATATCACATTAAAATTTAAAAATTTCAATTATTTACTTGTTAGGGACATCATTTTTTATTCTAGAGATTTCAGAGATTTCCAGGGCACCTGGGTGCCTTAGTTGGCTAAGTGTTCAACTCTTGATTTCAGTTCAGGTCATGATCTCACAGTTGGTGAGATCAGGCCCCATGAGGGGCTCTGCACTGAGAGCATGGAGCCTATTTGGGATTCTCCCTGCTTTTCTCTCTCTGCCCCTCCGCTACTCATGTGCACATCCTCTTTCTCTCTCTTAAAATAAATACATAAAAAATGATAATAAATCTAGAGATTTCCATTAAGCCTCATAAGTTTAGGACTTATGGTTCAGTGATCTAGAATTGGTACTAATGTTTAACCAGGAATAACTTAGTAATATAAAGTAGAATTGTACGAATAAGACCAGGTAGATAACCTGCCTCTAGTTAATGTCAGTAACCAAAAATGATCATAAATACTGGGAGATTATATACATTTCAGTCTAAAGATAAATATGAAGGTTTTCCCAAAGGAAAAAAATGACTGTGAATTTCTCAGCAATTAACTCAGATTAGATGGGTTTAGGTCAACTTAGTTATTCACTCTTTGAGAATAACAGAATCTGGGGCACACAGTCCTATAAGACTGGGGTAGAGCATTGAAAAGGGAGTGGGTCATAGGATGGAATGAGCTGATGAGGGCAAGCGGGGAGCTGGAAGGGTTAGAAGGTGTGAAGGAGAAAAGGGCATTAGCCACGTAACAGAAATAAATAGGGACCCTTTCCATGGTATTTGCAAAAGAAAAATTATTTTCCCTAGAAACTGATGAACTGTCCCTGCAAGAGGCAGATGGTGACTTTGAGCCTGAGATCTTGGGTTTGAGTCCAGGTCTTTCCCTTGGCCATGTCACCTTGGTCAAATTACATTTAACCCCCCTGAGTTTGTTTGTCTATGAAGAGGAGCATAATAGTATCAACACCAGAGAACTGTTGTAGCTTCCAGCATCTAGTGCTATAAAGTATGGGACATATTGTAGGGGTCCAGACATCTTAGTTCCCTTGCCCCTTACTGGACAGCAGTTAGGGAGGAGCAGGGCAGGGAAGAAGAGTGACTTTGGATGACTGTATTTTAATGGATTGAAAAAGGAAGATTTGGCCCCTGTGAAAAAATGGTTCCCTTGTCCTGACTTTTCCTGTGTCCTAAGAGCAGTGACAGCCATTGTCCTTTACAAGCCATGCGGAGGCACCCACACACATCCCAAACACACCCATAAATTGTAGCTCCACAGTATTACTCCAGGTATTTTTTGCCAATCACCTGTGTCATTATTCCATGGACTGTAAATTTCAGGGCCAATTTCAGACCTCTGAAACATGCGGCCCTGGAAACTACAAACAAAAATTTAAGAACATAACTCCTTGAAGAACTTCAGGACCTACACTGGTGGGAGAAGAAGAAAACACCCCATTTGGCCTGGAAATGAGCAGGGAAGCTTGTTTGATCCTACATTTCTGTGGTCTTAACTACAATGCAGTTTTACAACTGAAAATGTTTTTAAAAAGTAGCTGAGACTAAAAGTACCTAAACAGTAGCTGCAGATGCAAATTTAAAAATCATATATTGAGTATCTACGATGTTCAAGCACTGTGCATGATCTCATTTAATCAGGCTTCATCTTGATGGGGCTCCTAGTTGCTCAGTTGGTTGAGCGTCTGACTCTTGATTTCAACTCAGGTCATGATCCCAGGGTCATGGAATTGAGCACCATGATGGGCTCTGGGCTGAACGTCAAGCTTACTTAGGATTCTCTCTCTCTCTCTCTCTCTCTCTCTCTCTCTCTCTCTCTCTAAGATAAAAGTAAAATAAAACAAAACACTAAAATAAAGTCAGACTTTATCTTGAAGACGTCTTGGACATGGAGACACACATCCTTGAACTATAATAAACTGTATTTTCCTCTTCATCAGGGACATTTGCTTGTTGTCATAGTCACAGTTTTGACCCTGAAGTTTTACTTTGGAAAGTTTATGCCTGTGGGCCAAAGGACACTTATTCTAAAGGAGAAGGAGAAATACTACAGTCTTCAAGTTCACTATGTTCTTCCAACCACAAGGGCATCTTTAAAAAAAAAATACTCCTCCCTCCCCTGGATAGGACTCTTGTGACCTCCATCAGTTAATGCCTCCTAGTCATTTATTCTATCTCAGCAGGAAAAATAGGCCTCAACACTCTAATGTGAGGCAACTGAAGTCTCCACAGGGGACCCTCACACAGAGTGAATCATTGCTGACGAGGTTCTAACCAGAGACATTTTTATGAGCTGTGCAATCACTCAAAAATGCTCATTTTATATTTTCAAAACTTAGTGGCCTCTGTCTTGGAAACTGTGTATTTGAGAACATCTTTTTGAATTTGTTCATCCCCAGCTGTGAGAAAATACTGCCTAGTCATGGGTAGGAAAAAAGCAATTTAGAGAAATAATAGAGGAAGATGATGATTTCATCCTCGTCTGGATTTCTGTGACATCCTTACTGGGACTTGTCCAGGAGAGAGGCAGACCAGAGGCTCTGCTGGGGCGACAGAAGGAGCCCAGTGAGTCACAGGCCTTTACTGGCCAGAGAAAACCAGGAAGGGCACAAAGATGTAAGAGAAACATATGGGAAACAGAATTTGGGGGCCCTGGAGTCTTGGCATTACTCTTCCTCTGCTCTGTCACATGGTGGCTGAGTGACCATGGGCCAGTCACACAGATTCCAAGGACCTTGCTATGCCCACCTGTCAGAGGAAGGTGCCTGGGCTGCCTTAATTTTCTGAAATTCTATAATATAGGAAAACCCTGGAAACCAAGAATGTAAGACATTAATATGCACAATGCTAAAGTGACTAGCATCCAGTTAATATCTTGAGGAAATAAAGCAAGATAATAACTTTTAACAGGATCCACAGGAAGAGTATCTCTATAATTAAGGTAATCTTTTTTGGTTGAGATGGGTTTTTTTGTTTGTTTGTTTGTGTATTTGTTCCTTAATGGATCCAGGGAGCACCTGCAGAGTTAATCACACATAGAGCCACATGAGCCATGTAGGAGAATCATCATAAGGGACTTGAATCTTTCTAGGCTTTGAAGAAAGAAGTTGCAAGAGAGGGAAAGACATACTCCTACCAGTGTCAAGGCCTTGACACAGCAGCAGCATCTGTGGAATAACCAATAACCGAAGGCAAAGGGAAACTGAGCAAGAGTGTAGATGCTAGAAATTGGAGAGTCTCAGTTCAACCATGCTCAGGAAGGGTGTGAGATGTTTCATATCTGTTCTGTCTGTTTCATATCTGTTTCATATCTGTCTGTGTAAAGGAATAGGCTAAAGACCATCTGAAATCTTAAGTGAGTGGTCTTGTTTGTTTTTACTTGTAATTCTAAATCTTCTTCATGAATTCATAGTTCCTTCAAGAAAATTGAGGGGTTTTGTAAAAATAAGAGTAGGAAGGATTCAGAAATGTGCATTTCTCACCCACCTCTCTCTTTGCAAAGCTCTTGCTGTTCTCTGGAGCCTGTGCTCAAGGAAAAGAGACAGTGCAACATCTGTTCCATGCTTTGCTCAATGGGTGTGTGATGGGTCCTTCTTTGAATGAGTAAACTAAGTGGTCTGTTTTAAACAGCCTCCTGCTGTGCTACATGCTTAGGAAGAAAAAGTAAATAAGGCCACACTTGTTCCAGTCATGTTCGTGAGAACCTGAAAAAGAAGACTTGGGGCAAAATAACTGAAATCTGTATAATAAAAATTACATTATTATATGGTGTCCATTGTGTGGGAAGATGATAGCACCAACTCAGTAGAAATAAGATTTGGCAGTTAGGAAGGACTTGAATAGTAGGACATCATTCTGGTATTTAGTGTTTAATTTTTCTGAGAGATTTCAAATAGGAAATTTTATTTAAACTTTAATAATTAGCTCTGCAGTGGCAGGGGTGCCTTACACTATTCCCGTGCTCATTGCTAATGTGATTATCAGCACCCTCTTTCCTACTGTAATAGGCTATGTCCTTATATTCCAGCATGGCACTCCAAGCCAACACCACTATAAATGTGAACGAGACTTTCTGCTACCCCTGATCTTTCATTTTATGGATGAGAAGATAAACGTCTGCAGAAGGTCTAGTTAAGTTCTACAAAACAATATATCTTGACTGTTTTCTCCATTTTTGATGGGCTTGAGAGGAATACGTCAGGCACTCTTGCCTATCCGCTTCTTTGCATGGTGATGAACGTGCCAAGTTTAGGAGTGCCCTCATACTTTTCATTGAATGAAATCGACTGGTGATAAGAGAAAACAACTAAACTCTGACCTTGACTGCTTATGCAGAAGACTTAACAGTTTTTATCATTTACTATAAGAATTGTGTGTACTTTAAAGGAAAAGCCTATTAATAATTTCACACGGTCACCGAGATATTGGTAAAATTAATGAAGCATGCTCATTTCTTCACACTTAGAAGTCTCCTTAAGTTTTCTTTTTTTCATTTCTCATTCTTGTTACTCTCTTTTCCCTGTGAGACCACGCTCATCCATCCTTTCCTTGTGTTCTGTCTATCCATCCACCATCCATCCATCCATCCATCCATTCTTTCCTTCCTTTCTTCCTTCCTCTCTCCCTTTTTTTCTCTGCCCTTCCTTCTTCCTTTCCTTGTTTCCTTCCATACTTGTTGATCGTCTTTCACTGTAAGAACTAAAGTTATTTCTATCTCATGGAGGTCATACTTTGATGGTGGAGAAAGATAATAAACACATTAATACAGATATATTGTAAAATGTAACAATTACTAGGAGGAAATAGTAGGATACCACAATGATAGAGAACAAAAGGGGAATTCAGCATGGATCTTAATAGTCAGCAGAAGTTTTTCTCTGGAGACAAAACTCCAGTTCAGATGCTGAGGATGAGAAGGAACCTGCTCTGGAAAAGCGGGGAAGGAAGAGTGAGAGGATGATAAAGGCAGTTTGACTCACTTGAAGAACTACTTTAGGACCAGTTTAGTGGATGAGATGGAGACTGACGTGAGAGGTGTTTAAGGCTGTGGTTTGAGGCCCTTTGGGTCCTGAGTTAATTCTAAGATTAACTGAAGGTCATTCATTCACTCACTCACTCAGCGGTGGGATTCTATGATTGAATTTGAATGTTAAAAGACAATGGATCTGACATAAGATGGAAGTGGAAGCAGGGAGTCATCAAAGAGGCAGTGCAAGTGTGGGCACTGACTCGTATGTGGCTTCAGGTAGGAAGATGGTAGTGAGGTTGAAGACGGGAGGACATACTTGTGATAGATTTTTGAGGTTGAGGCCTCAGGACTTTCTGATTAGACGAGAGAGGAATGAGAGAGAAAGGAGACTCCAGCTGAATCACAAGTTTCTAGGTTTTGAGCAACTGGGTAAAAGTGGTGGTGGCATTTCATGAAATGAGCAACACAGGAGGAGCAAGTAATAATTCATTCAGGAATTCATTCAAGGAATAATGCATTCAGATCTGTACATCTCGGCTCTGCGCTCCTGTGAGAAACCTAAGTGGTAATGTGAAGGAGGCAGATACTCATGTCTGGTGTGAGAGACATGTGTGTCAGAGTTACACACACACACACACACACACACACACACACACACACACACACAGGTATCTGTGTTTGTCTGCATGTAGAACGTGATCTATGTTCTACACCATGTATATGAGGGAGGTGGCATGAAGATAATGGAGGGAGGTGTAGGAGCAGGCTTTGAAAATTTCCAGCATTTAAATTTTGGGAAGAAGGTGGGGCCGCCGGGGTGGCTCAGTGGGTTAAGCATCCAACTTCAGCTCAGGTCATGATCCTTCAGCTGGCAGGTTCGAGCCCCACGTCAGGCTCTGTGCTGACAGCTCAGAGCCTGGAGCCTGCTTCAGATTCTGTGTCTCCTTCTCTCTTTCCCCCTTGCCTGCTCATGCTCTGTCTCTCTCTCTCAAAAATAAACATTAATTTTTTATTAAAAAAATAAAAAATAAAGTTTGGGAAGAAGCCAGTAAAGGGGGGGTTGAAAAGAAGGAACAGCCAGAAAATTAGAAGGAAAAGAGAAGTGTGCAATATCATAGAGCCAATATCTTGGCCACATAGTAGCCAGATAGATATATTGCTTCTGAGAGGTCAAATAAAAAGACTATAGTGAGGGAGGTTATTTGGGTAGAGTTGTGGTAGGGTCATCATTGAGGATGTTTGTCTAGAAAGGGAGCAGGTAAATTGAGAGGTACTTGAGGAGGATACGGGCTGAAGAGAAAATGTAAGACCAACTGGGACCTGATATGTACTTTCAGAAGCAGTCCCCGCGATAGGAAGAAGTATTTGGAGATACCATATTGATGTAAAGAAAGAATCCCAAGCCCCCTGATTTAGATAAAGCTTTCCTGTGCATACTAAAGGTAGTGACACTAATGTATAGAAAAAATAGTGAACCCTTGGTTTAGGATCAAATGATGAGTCACTGAGAGGGAAAGCTTTAAAACGCAAAATGAAATACATTATTGATTGACACAGTCTTGTACTTGCCAAAATTTCATATATACTTACTGATTTTTTGCAGACGTTTTCCTTGATAAATAACAGAACAATTACATGTGCCCACAGAAGATACTATCGGACACAGCCATCTGGTGCAACACACCACTTCTCTCTTTTGTGTAATCTCTCCTCTGAAGAGTTACATTTCCATGTCTAAGGCTCGTTTATTTACCTTGATTTCATATCTTTGTGCTGTAACTCAGTCTAAATATTTACTTTGGCAAATTAATTGATTATTGTGAAGCCCATTGAAGTCCACATGGCTTTTGGAAATGGTGCGAGTTCTTATTTCTCCTGCTGTGAAATAATAATGCCTCACCTCCCTGTTTGAACCTGCTGTCCGAGTATATGCAATACTTGTGAATAATAGATCTCTCACAGTCCTCACCTCCTTTTAAGCATTCACACTGCATCTTATATTTGCATACAAGTTATTTTTGCTTGTTCTAGCTAGGTCACATGCTAGGTCAGAGGGCCAACAAATCATTTCTCTCTCTCTCTCCACCCTCTCTCCTTCCCCTTTCCACCATCCCACTTCCAAATGTAGTGTAGGCAGCATTATTTGTAACCCTGTAGGAAAGAATAGGCCAGCCCAGCCATTATTTCCCCAGACCCTAGTGGTTTGCTTCCATGAAATACAGTTCCATGCCTGAACAGAGAGGTATTTGCACATAAACAAGATGTCTGTATTTAGCCTTGTGAAATTCCTACTGTTTTCATTGTGGAAAACTAGTAGAAGATTTGACTTAATTGGTAGGTATCTGAACTTAGGGCCAGTAAGGGCAAACCCCTTAATCTCTGTGACCTTTAGATTCCCTGTTAGAAAATGGGCCTATCAACAATATCCACTACACTATCCTTTTTTTCAAGGATCGAGTGTCTTGTGTATTATGAAATTTAAAACAGGAAAGTAGGAGATGCCTTGGGCTGAGGAAGGTCCTTTACACACTTTAATTACCTGCTCATTTACATCTCTAAGTTTCTAGAAGTGACTCAGAGGAATTGTATATTTAAACGTTTGATATTGCCAAATTGTCTTCTACAAAAGCTGAACCCATATTACACTCACACCAAGAGTGGGTATTTTCAAATCAGTTTAATCTTTACTCCCTCCATGGGTGAGAAATGACCTCACACACCTCTTTGCATTGCTTTGACGACTCTGTTGGTAGTCTTTGAGTTATTTTCAAACTGTATGAATAACTCTGCTGTTGAGTATCTTTGATTCTTTATTTCCCATTTGGAATATTTCTTTAAGATCAGTTTCCAGTCAACAGATGATAGGGCCATTTCAGTTGCTCTTGAAACATTACAAAATTGCTTTCAAAAGAGTTTCACAATTTATACTCAGTATATATTTATGTCTGCAACATATACTCAGAGATGCCTCAGTGCTTTTGTTTTAGCATCCTTGCTGACTCTGGGTGTTACTGAAATTATTTTTGCTAATTTAGTAAAAGTGAAAGATGTTGCTTTTTTATTGCCCAGGAACCATCATTTAAAGGGCCCCCTGATGGTGCTGTAGCCAGATGGAAGCCTGGCGCTGACACCAGAGGTTTATTTTCTGTTCTTTCACCTGCTGGTTAATAATTAGGCAATATTTCCAGGCCCACAGTTGGATCTGATTGAACTGCTCTTGCCGAGCTGTTAATGATTCAGAAACACCTTCCCCTACCTCCCCACCTATCTAAATTCTTCCTGCTTCTTTGAGGGCACCTCAGCTCCCATACCATTCAAATAGCCTCCCCTAATTGCCCCTTCCTACCACCCCAAGGCAATTACTGCTCTTAACCATATGGTTTGACCCTGAGCTGTAGTCCATTGGTTTCCATTATTTGCTTTACTTTTAAGATTTTGTAATACGGATACACTCCACCTGCAAGGTGATGTTAACACCATGCCTTTTCTCTTTAGATTTTACTCTGTAAGAAGACACTTCCCAGAACAGTGCTGGCCACTCATAGGTGCATAATTAATAGTATCAGCTGTGCTGAACTGAATCCCTTGTCAAATGGACTTTACTCCAAAAGATAATGGAGTGTAAGAAGCACTGTACTCTTCCCACACAAGTCATTCCTAGAACACGGAACAGGCAGACCAAATGTGTTATTATATTTGGCTTACAGACATTATTGTTCTGACACCGCTACGATTTGCTTTGTAGGTACCTTTCCCCAGCGGTCTCTTCTTGTTTAGTCTTCTAGCATATTCCAGTGAACAAGATTAGTTTCTCCTCTACCAAAACACCATAGGCATGCTCACGCAGTGGGTTGAATTTCTTCTCTATTTAGATCCTGTCTCTTAAGTGACACCAATCCACTTAATCCTGGCAGCCTTCATTGTTATTATTGACTCTGCCTCTAATGTTAGCATTTTCCAGCTCTGCTATTTTCAGAATATACCTGCTTGTGTCATTCATGTGTCTTTTGTCCGCAATCTCTGGTTTCACTGACATACCGAGCTTTTCCAGCTGGAGAAGAGTTTCTACTCAACTGTGGCTAACTTTGCCTTCCCAGCTTAAAGTATCTTCAAATCATGGATGTTCAGTTTTATGCCCTGTACTGTGACTCCCAACCACTGATGTGGTCCTTGTCACATGTCCAAAAGCACCTGTATGTATGTGCCTATCTGTGTTGTGTATGTGTATGTGTGTGTATACATTTATATATGTATGCATTTTTATACTATATATGTTTATAAATGTGTGTTTATATAATCACGCATACAGATTCGCATACGTATGTATATATGTGTGTGTCTATATATCTTCTAGCAATTAGAATAGAATTAAAACTATTAACAGAGGTTTTCAAATCTTTCTTTTTAACCTTAAAACGCTTCTGTATAATCACTCAGGCAGAAAGTCAATAGGCATAAAAGATAGTGATTATCTAGTTGAATAGTGGGGATGAACAGGCCCTTGGGACATTGTTCAAAACCATGATTTGTCCCCTGCTGTTGATCACGTCGCTTCACCATAACCCTTGCCTACCAGGCTGCATTCACATTGGCCTCTTTTTACATCTGGAACTTACTAAAATTGTCCTTGCCCTTAGGGTTTTGCTTTAGCCATCCCCCTTCCCAGATCCTGCTCACCTAGACTTCCCCACTTCCCACAACCTGGCTCCTCGTTATCAGAAACTCAAAAGTCACCTTTCCAGAGAGACCTTCCTTGACCTCCCAAGCGGCTTCTCTCCTCCTCTCTCACTCCCAAGTAACCCTTACATCCCTACCCGAGCACTTCCCACTCCTGGGAAGTAACTTCTTTCTTATGGTTTATGTCCCAATGGGAGGCGAGTTTCCAGGAAAGTAGGCAGCTAGTCTGTCTTGCTCCAAGTTATATTTCCAGTTCTTAAAAACAATGCCTGGCACACAGAAGACACTAAATATATCCTGGAAGGGAAAAGCATCAATGGAGCACTAGCTTTAGAGGACTCTCAAATCTTCATACGATTTTCTTCTCCTGCTTCTAAATTCATCAGGGTTTACTTTTTAACATTCCATTTTTTAAAGGTGTTTCACAAAGCTTTTTCTAGACTTTAGGTTATCAAAGC